CCCAAAACCCCAAACATAAAACCCTGAAGCCAAAAAGCCAACGTCGGTTTTGGGTTTTAGGGTGAGGGGTTCGTCACGCCTTCGAGAACAGCGCCGGTGTTCACTGATGAATAGACTCGACGTCCTTACACAGTTCATGCTTCATGAAACCTCCCAAGATTGATTAGCTTGCCCCTTCCTCAAGCCCTCGACCTTAGTTCTAGGAGGCTTCTGGCGTCCCCTAAACCCTAACCCTAAACCCAAACAGAGTTTTGCTCCGTAGAGGCCTGACACTGTTCATGTTTCAGGTTTTGAGGGTCCTGGGTACTGTTATGCGGAATACTTCCCCAAATCATAATAGTAATTCTTAATATGCAACCCGACATTCCACAAAAAATGTATTTTTGGGAGCAAAAAAGGGGGCTTGAAAGTTTGACGATTGGGATCTTCGCGTCTATAGCCGTTGATTAGAGTGGTTAGAATTTAGGATTTAGGGCTAGGGAGGTTTAGGGTTTCGGGTTTGGGCATTGGTGTTTAAACTGGGTTGTTCTGTGGTTGACGCCTGTTACTTGCTGTTGCTTCTGGGTTTTCGTGATAATATAACTCACCTCACAAAACGAGATAAGTGTACGTGTATATATATATATAGACACTACATATATATATATATATATATCCGACAGTACGTGTATATATATATATATAGACACTACATATATATATATATCCGACAGCCCAGTGAAGGTTCCTAGACTTCATGTAAACCTATCATCTAGTCTTGCATGGTGTCAAGAAGCCGATTGTTTTGAACTGGCCTGGCGTGCACGCATTTACGAGTTCATTGTGTGCCCACTGAGGCAACCACGTGCGAATCACGGGATGCTCGGCAGACCCTAAACCCTAAACCCCAAACCCTAAACCTTCAACATGTTCCATGTTTCCGTCCTGCAAGCTTCACGCGAAGCCTCATTTTCATGAAGGGCTTTGACGGATTCGTAAGAGCATTCCCGGATAAACTCCATGTACAACTGTATAGATCTATGGTATAGTATATCCAAAGCATCTTATTACAATTGATAAGGCTTCCGTATTATCGGACCTTGGCTTCCGGTGTAGAAGCAGCCATCGGCTGCAGGTTCTAGCGTTTCTGTCAGCATTTTCTCTGTCCGATCCCTAAGGGTTGAACCCCCTAAACCGCTGGCCGCCAAGCGCCTCAGCTCCTAAACCCTACACCCTAAACCCTAAGCCCTAAACCCGAAATCCCAAACCCTAAGCCCTAAGCCCTAAGCCCTAAACCCGAAACCCGAAACCCGAAACCCGAAACCCTAAACTCTAAACCTGAAGGCTAACCCCCCGATTGCCGATCGAACCCCAGGCCGAACCTGTTTTTCACCTAAACCCTAAAGCCTTTAGGATGTGTATTTACATATATCTATATATATATATATAGAGAGAGAGAGAGAGAGAGAGAGAGTTTAGGGTTTAGGGCTTAGTGCTTAAAGCCCGAACTTTGTCCAGCCCTTCTGCCAGGTGAAACTCACAAGGGTTTAGGGTTCGGGGTTGAGGGGTTTAGGGTTTATGGGGTTGAGGGGTTTAGCTTAAACTGCTTCCAAACCGAGGACAAGATGTCCAGCGCGGCACCTTCGCCCATCGGCACTGCGTTGCGAAGGATCAGAGCACCGGGGAAGATTTCTGTGCCCTGGCCTGTGCTTAGGGTTTGGGTGTAGGTCTTAGGGCTTATAGTAGAAGCCAGAAATCCCTAAACCCTAAACCCTAAACCCTAAACCCTGAAAGTTGGAACATCACTATCCTCATGCCCTTAAGGTAAAGTAAAGGGGATCCTAGGACCAATCCTCCTAAACCCATGTTCCAACTTCCTGGGGTTCTCTGTAGGATGGTTCAGGGCTTATAGGTTTGGGGTTTAATACGGGTTTAGGGTTTAGAGTTTAGGGCTCAGGGGTTTACGGCTTAGGGGTTGGGGTCGTTTGGGGTTTTGGGGGTCAAGGGTTTGGCCCTAAACCCTAAACCCTAAACCCTAAACCCTAAACCCTAAACCCTAAACCCTAAACCCTAAACCCAAGCCCCAAAGGCTGAAAGCTTCAGACTTTGAGCCACATTTATGAGCAGAAGCGCTAAATCGAAGGCCGGGAGACGCACCACAGGCTCTAAGGCTTGCAACTCGGGCTTTAGGGCTGTAGGGATTATAAGATGAGGGTTTACGGTTTAAGGCATTTAGGGCTTAGGATACTCTACAGGACTTTGGAACTAGGGTTCAATTCTAGGGCTTGATGGTTTTAGGGCTTCGGTTCAGAGTTTTGGTGTTTCTGGGTGCACGGTTTCGGTTCAACTATAACGGGCCTTAACAATTAGACTAGGTTTGAAAATAAGGAAGCCCCAAAACCCTATCCTTACTATTAAGGCCCCTACATTGAGCACAGCTCTCCGCAGGCTTCCTGAACAACCTCGACCTCGGTCCGCAGGACCCTTGGGCCGGGTCCAGGGATCAGGGGTCCGGGGTTTAAACTTTGGTATTATTTTCAGGTTTTGTCATAATGACAATTAGTATGTCTATTCTTGTTATTATGTTTGGGGTTTAGTATTTGTAAGGTTTATAGGGTGTAATTAGTGCTCAGGATTTCAGTGTATTGTTTGGGCAACCTGTTCAGGGGTGGCACTTGTGGTTTAGGCCTTTACTTAGGGTTGAAGATCCATCGTTTCAAAGTTTAGGTGTGGGGAGCCCTTAGCTAACCCCAGAGCACTAAGCCTCAAACCCCTAAAGCTCAGGGTCTAGAGTCCTTTCCGTTCGATGTTTCTTGGAAAAGTCCTTAGGTCTCTAAGCCATTCCAATTCTTGGAGTAGTGTGGGAGTCGGAATATTTACCAACACCAACTATAGCATGTATCCTGGTAATTAATACGGCCCTCGACAAAAGCAGATATGATGAGTCAGGGGTCTACATCAAGGCTTTCGTGCTTGCCGCTTTATGTACCCCTAAACCCTAGACCCTTAACCCCAAAACCCTAAGTTTACCCCGAAACCCTAATCCCAAACTGGGCCCCAAACCCGAAACCCCTAAACCCTAAACCCAACATGGGGTTGCTCTGAAGTTGAGTTCGATCTTGAAGCCTGAACCCACAGGCCCAAGCAATTTTGGAAATCCCGAACTTCGAGCATGAATCCCCCGTCAGGAAACTTTCATCGCGCGGAACTCCATCCTTTCTGAATATGGCGTACTGGGCTTCGAGCTGGGCTACAGCTACGAGAACCCTCGCGCATTGGCTCCTTCGATGAGTTATACACAGCTGTGGCCACGAGCAAGTGCAAGCATAGTTGACGATCTGTAACTCGCGAAACGTAGTATAGAATGTCCCCAAACCATATTCTCATTATTAAGGTCCTTATATTAAGTCAATTAGTGTCATTGCCGGTTCGTTCCAGCTTCTACATTAATGGTGTTCCAGTGGGTTTCGGGGTTCGACCCGGATCCTGGAATGTTGGGGTTTAGGGTAGTTACCTTGAAAACCTATTTTATGGTTAGGATCCTAGAGAAAGCCTAAAGTAGGCAACAGAAAGGTACTACCTTGCGGGGTCTAGGGAGCTGCCTGGATCTCATAAAGGCTGGAGGGAACTCGGAGGTTATGAGGTTTCAGGGTTGAGGGTTTAGGGTTTCGGGCTTCTTCTGAGGTCTACAAAAGTTCGTTTCTGGATGTCTAGGGTTCCCATACCCAGAGGCCCCATAGTAGTTCCTTTTTGGGGTTGCCTTATAGGATTCTAATATGAACCCCGAAAAGGAACGCCTTTAGGGCCTATGGGTAGTCATAGGTTGCAGATCTCCGGGATACGACTTAGCAGATCAGTATTGCATCCGGCTTCTGGCATTTTGATTCTTGCTAGAGGCTCTCTGCGAAAGCACACTTTCCCAGGACCTCCGCTACGACGACAGGGGCCTATTTCTACTTTGTTGAGGAGTTTTTTGGCTCGGGATATGCACATCTCTAAGGGGTCCATGTGCCCAGATCGTATGTACGTTGGCCTTAATGTGGTCCCTGTACATAGGTACTTTGGGGTCAAAGTTCTGATAGAGGCGAAAGAGCCACGGTTGGGAGGCTCAGACATGTGTCTTTTTCGAAGGGAACGCCGCCCACGGCCACAAACTATCGATGCTCCGTCTTACAAAAATACCGGCGAGTCGCATGGTTTCGGGTTTAGGATTCTCAACGAAGCAACAGAAATAGTCCATGGTTGCAACAGGAACACTCACAATACAGATAGTATCTGATCCCTAGACCCTAAATTTGAAACTCTAACCCTAAACCCCTCAACTCCTAAACCCTAATCCGAGAATTCGCAAGACTGCTCAAATCATCACCGGTGATCTCCCCAAGCCCGCAATCCAAGAACTTCATGTACAGAACCCCTTCGAGACCTTATAGAACACCTAAGGGATCATCATGCCTTTATTATGAAACACATGTATGTCAGCAAGCCTAGGGCCCCAAACTCCTGTATGAATGTAGGGTATGGTAGCAAAAAAGAAGGAAACAACAACAAAACAATGTCTAACATAGGTACAGAGCAGCTATAGTCAGAACGCTAGTAAGAGCAGTCACAGAAAAAAAACAAGTATTAGTCTTAGAACTTAGAACGTTGCAGTGTTATCGCCTCTTATCTTTATCATTACTCTCAGTTGTCATGGTACCAGTGGTAGTGTCGTCGTCGCTGTAGTAGTGGTAGCAGCAGCAGCAGCAGCAGCAGCAGCAGCAGCAGCAGCAGCAGCAGCAGCAGCAGCAGCAGCAGCAGCATCAAACAACCCAGGTCCTTTGGGAAGCACAATTTGGTGACTTCGCCAACACGGCGCAGGTGATGATCGACCAGCCTCTTGCCAGCTCTGGGTGCTAAGCTTCACATGTTTGTTGTGAACACTTTGTGAACATAACATAGTTACATGGAAACCTTGTTAAGTTAAGGAGCCGTTAAGATGCAGTGTTTTATAGCCACACATCAATGTAGGGTATAGGAGAAAGGTGTGAGACTAGTACTGAAGGGTTCTGGGTTTTATTATTGAGCCTAAATCTTAGGTTCCTTGCTATGAATACCTTCCAAAACAAAACCCTGTAGTGAAGCCTTGGGTATGCTCTTTGCAACGGCCACATCGGCGTCCCGCCAACGCCTCCTAAATCCCTGAATCCTACAGTCCACAAACCCCTTCAACCAATTGGCCTGAGGGTTTAGGGAACCCGAAACCCCAAACCGGCTAAAGAGCGCAGGTTTGTATCTGCTGGGGAGCACAAGTGGCTTCAGCAGACCGGCTTGGTCATGCTCCTCCCCCACGGCTACATGGGCCCTTCGGTCTTCACTGTTTTTTTTTTGAGAGGGGCGGAGGGAGGGGGGTGAGGGTTAGAGGTCAGAGTTAGGCTACCAGGGCTTGTCTAGGACATTTTCAGGTGGGTAGTTACAGTTATAGGAGCCTTATAGAAGGTCTATATACCTTATGGAAGCCTTATAGAAGCCCTATATACCCTAAACTCCCCCTAAACCCTAAACCCTAAACCCTAAACCCTATATACCCCAAACTCCCCACCTGTAGTTTCCTTGAGCTTGTTCTCACACTGTCTGATCTGGGCTCCTACTCGCGCCTACATGGGCCTGTTGACCTCCAGGGTTTAGGGTTAAGGGGTTTAGGGTTTAGTGTTTAGGGTTTATAGGGTTTAGGGTTTAGAGTTTAGCTTGTTTTGTATTTATTTGTTTGATCGTGTTTCCATTTTTTGGTGTCATTACATTTTGTGTCGGGTTTAGACTTTGGGTTTAGGGCATCCGCGCCCTAACTTGCAAGTCAGGACCCAAGCTAAAAGCCGCACATCCTCGACCCTGAAGTAGCAAGCTAGAACTCGTAAATCCTCTTGAAGCTTGCAACGCTGAAACCTGTGTCACACAGAGCCGAATACCCCTGCAATAAGGAATGGCCCCGACGTTTTGAGGGGTCATTATGGTTTGGGGATTGTTTCCTAAATTGGAGGCCCAACATAGGCGTCCGAACCACTAGCAGCAGTAGCAGCATAGTTCTGAATGGTCGCACTACAAGACTAAGAAGAGTGGTTATGGTAATAGCAATGATAGCCATCGTAAGTCTCTACTTTACGAAACTACTGATAGCAATAATGATAGTCATGAGATGAATGGTGATAAGGATAATCTTAGCACTAGGGATAAGAGCAGCAAAACGTAGTAAAAGACCCATAACAGTGGAATAACAATAAACCTCATAATCAATACTGATTACTGTAGTAATATCAGTGTTTATATTTCAGAGTATGATCATCATCATCATCATCATCAAGATCGTGAGAGCCGCAATACAGTATACATATATATATATATAAGAGTGTACACATGTGTATATATATATATATATACACATGCGATATTCTGGTCAAGAAGGCATCCATCTTCTTTTGCTCTCTGGGGGAGAACTCCGGTCTGCGATGTTTGACGCATTACTTCAAGATTGCTGAGCCTGAACTCATAGTTTAGGGGGAGAGAGTTTACAAGGGTTCAGGGTTTAGGGAGGTTTAATTCACTGTGGCCGCATCCAAAATGATTTAACGCCCCAATCCGGAGGCGTTGTACAACTCTGAAAAATCTCAGAATCTAAGACTGACCCTAAACCCTAAACCGTGGCTCCTGCTTCTTGGTCTTGCTCTGGTTGCTACTAGTAGTTACCTTCACAAGACGGAACACAGTCAGAGTATGCTTGACACACAGTTCAAGGATGGTCCTGATTTGTAGCTATGCGCTTCTCTCTGTCACATATTACCCTAAACCCAAAACCCTAAACCCAAAACCCTAAACCCTACATAAACCCTAAACCCTAAACCCTTGAATTACTGAACCCTATATACCCCCCAAAACCCTTACCTAAACCCACCAAAAGTAGGTAACATAATGACCCGAAACCTATAAACAAAAGGCTATTATTCTAAATACTTCTGGGTGTCCAGGTACCCTCTAAAACCTAAGCCCTAAACCCTAAACCCCTAAAGCACAAAGCCACTAAACCCCTAAACCCTAAACCCCAAACCCTAAACCCTAAACCCTAAATCCCTAAACCCCTAAACCCTAAACCCCTAAACCCCTAAACCCTGACGGGTGCCTCTTAGGCCAGGGAGCGGAACACTCGTCCTGTCGACTGGAGCGCTACCTTCAGCTTAGCCAGAGACCTGAAAGTTTAGGGTTTAGGGTCGAGGGCTTTGGGGTTTTGGGTTTAGGGGTT